ACCCCCCCCCCTTTAAAGAGAAACTTCCTTAGCTTGCTCAGGAATCTTCAGCATCTGACACCGTTTGGGAGCCTCGAATGCCTGGTTCCCCCCCTCTGCACTCTGTGGTTCCTTCTATGTCACTACAAGACGCAATAGTGATGTAGGGGTTGGAGGATCAAACCACAGTGCCCAGAGGGGGACCCGACATCCGACTGACCCCGGAAGTGTCGGATGCTGAAGGTTCTTCAGACACTGTAGCTCTTCCACAAAGTGAACATTAGTGGAGCAGTTGGTGGGACCGGTAAGTGTTATTAAAGTACCACCCTTATGTCTTTGAGTAGTGCAATGCTTTAGAATTCTCTACAGACCAAGTTCTCATGGTCTCGTTCGCTCCAGTGACCATGTTGCCTTCTTCTCCCGTAGGTGTAGGAGGCGGCACAGACATAAGCATGGCGGTGAACAGCACCCTGGTGGAGCAGTTCTTCCATGCCCCGGATTGTGTGGGATGGAAAACCAACATGGAGCGGGGAATCTACCACCTGGCCTGCATTGTATTCCTGTTGGCGTATATGGGTGGCAGCGGCATCCTTGGCTGCATCTACATCTTTGGGCTCATGGCGGCCGCTTTCCTGTGCTTGGCAATGTGGGGTGGCCTGTTCGTCTGTGGGTTGGACATTGTGACCTGGAACATCATCCTGATAGTGCTCTGCTTGGTGCAGATTGGACACCTGATTTACCGATTACACAGGGAGTCCTACGGAGAAGACTATGACATTCTGTACCAAACCCTGTACCAGCCCATGAAGGTTCCGCTGGATGTCTTCAAGGAGATCGCTCACTGTAGCGGGATGGAGGTCCATTCCTTAAGTGCCGACCAGAGTTACGCTCTAGAGGGAAAGACGCCCATTGACCGCCTGTCCCTCCTCATCTCTGGAAGGTGGGTGATGGCGGGGAAGGAGGGTGATGACGGGGAAGGTGGGTGATGATGGGGGAAGGTGGGTGATGTCGGGGAAGGTGGGTGATGACGGGGAAGGTGGGTGATGACGGGGAAGGTGAGTGATGACGGGGAAGGTGAGTGATGAGGGGGAAGGTGGGTGATGACGGGGAAGGTGGGTGATGACGGGGAAGGTGGTGCTGCCCGGCTTCCTGATCGGTCGGGAAGCTGGCCAATCAGGAAGCCCGGCGCCGTGTGATGACGCAGCGCCCGGCATTCTGATTGGCCGGGAAGCTGGCTTCATGCTTCCCTCGTCATCTCATGACGAGGGAGCATGGAGCCGACCTCCTGGACAATCAGAAAGCAGGGCGCCGTGTCCTTACACGGCGCCCGGCTTCCTGATTGGCCAGCCAGGCGGCTCCGGCTGGGTACCAAAGGAAGGCCGCGTTCTGGCCGGAGAGGCCCCCGGCGGTGACAGGCTGGACACGCCGAGGTGAGAGGGGACGGACTTTCTTGTTAATCAAGTGGCGACTCTTTACACGACGCCTGGCTTCCTGAATGGGACTTCCGTTACTCGGTAATTGGTATCGGCGGGTACCGGAAAAAAATTATCGGTACTCGGTACCAAAATACCGGTATCAGTGCATCCCTAGTTTGAGTGCATTTACCCTTTTCAATTGCCCCTTTACAATGGTGGTGAACGTAGAATCCCCCATTACATACATGCCAAGGATTCCCAGCTTTACCTGATTCAGAGTTCACAGTGTGACGCCTCCTAGCTCGTCACCTAAAAAAAACCTTCAACCCATCAGCAGCCACTACAGATGTCCTCAACAGAACGGTCCGCGTCACATGATGTTTCCTAAATATTTTATGCCAAATATGTTTGCAGTGCAATTGATGTTTATCACTGAATTCTCTGCCAGAGCTGTTGGGTTTCCGCTCTTTAGAGAAATTGTACGGGCTGAGGCCAGGGCCGGTGCTAGACTATTTTGCGCCCTAGGCAAGACCAGCTACTTGCAGCCCCCACGCACGTGCGCGGCTCCATTCTCCTGCCGGCTAGCTTCCACAGGCGGTAAATGGATGTAAGCAGCCGGGACAATAGCCAGACTGCTATTGGCTATTTTCATTTGAAATAGCCAATAGCAGACTGGCTATTGAAACGCCAGCAGTCAGTGCGCCCTAGGTGGCTGCCTAGTTTGCCTAGTGGCAGCACCGGCCCTGGCTAAGGCTGGCCATGGATGTGCCGATTTCACTTGTTCAGCCCTGTGTCCTGAACGAGAGAAGTCACTCGATTCCCCATCGTATTAAAGAGTGTTGATGGAGGAATCTCCACTCCTAGAATGAGATCCTAATAGGTTGGACTTGATGGACTAATGTCTTTATTCAACCTCAAATACTATGTAACTATGTAACCAAGCCAGCGCTAGAGGAAGCAAGGCGGCACCGGAAGGAGCAGAGCCGCATAACTGTATCTAATTGGTCGGCCAATCATTTTCCACCTGGCTCCTTCGACTTTGAAATCAGACTTAAGATGGGTGGTGCGGACAGGGCCGCCCGCAGCTCAAAATTCGGCTGATTCAGCAAGGAATGGTCAGCTTAAAAGCTGCAGCTTTCCAAACAAATACATATATAATGTTGGCCGGATGCATATCCCCCTTTCCATTGATAGCCATGGAAAGGGGGGAACTCTATATAGTGTGGTGGCGCGAAGCAGGCCAGACAACTGCGGGGCATGCTGGAGGCTGTGCGGAGACATGGAGGTGCACAGGCATGTACTTGGAGACACAAGGGAGCACATGTAGTCACAGGGGCAGACTGGTGACACAGGGGTGAAGGAAGGTGCTGAGGACTGCAGCAGGGGGTTCAGTTTAGGTATAGTGATGCATTGCTTGAGCACCATGCATCGGAGAGAATACCTGGGGCCGGATTCCTGCAGAAGTGAGTGACAACATGTACCAAAGATCTGCATTTCCCTGTGTGTGCAGTAGGAGTGGGGGTCAGGCTAGCCAGCTGGCAGAGACTGGGCTTCCCGAGAAGAGGCAGCAACAGACAAACAGAGAGAGAGGAGCCAAGAATAACTCTAGTGTCATCTTTCAACCCAACAGGCAGCCTTTGATGTTCAGAAGGCTAAGCTTCCAAGAGACCCAGATCAGGGCCTCAGTACACTATGCTGGCCATAGACAGGTCAATAAAAGCATGAGATCTTCTGAGCTTTGAAGATTGTTTGTGATTCTGTAGGGCAAGACGTCTGATGCTAGAAGCCGAGAACAACCTCAGAGGTGTACGTTTGTACCCGTCCTTCCCCCGGGCACAGCACCAAAGACAGTTGCCTCTTCTCCCTATCCTTCAGCCCAGTCCTGGTCTTCCTTTCCACACCAGAAGATCGATTGGCTCCAGCATAGGCTGGACTGTTCCCATTTGCCGAGTACAGTGTTTGCGATGGAAAGCCACTATGTGAGCAAAAGTTTGTGAACACCTGACCATCACACCTAAATTAGCTTGTTGGAAATTCCATTCCAAAACTATGGCCATCAATATAGAGTTCCCCCCTTCCCATGGCCATCAATATAGAGGTCCCCCCTTCCCATGGCCATCAATATAGAGTTCCCCCCCTTCCCATGGCCATCAATGTAGAGTTACCCCCTTCCCATGGCCAATAATATAGAGTTGCCCCCTTCCCAAGGCCATCAATATGGAGTTCCCCCCTTCCCATGGCCATCAATATAGAGTTCCCCCCTTCCCATGGCCATCAATGTAGAGTTACCCCCTTCCCATGGCCATCAATGTAGAGTTACCCTCTTCCCATGGCCAATAATATAGAGTTGCCCCCTTCCCATGGCCATCTATATGGAGTTCGCCTTTTCTCATGATCATTAATATGGAGGTGCCCCCTTCTCATGATCATTAATATGGAGTTGCCCTCACCCTTCCCATGGCCATTAATATGGAGTTGCCTCCCCACCTCCCAAAGTCATTACTATGGAGTTGCCCCCCTCCCAAGACCATGATTATGGAATTGCTCCCCATTTATGGCTATAACACACCCACTCTTTTGGGAAGGCTTTTCATAAGGCCTAAGGTAAGTGGGCACCTGGCTATCCTCCACTATTCTGAGAAGACTTTCTACAAGATTTTGGAATGCCTGCAGGAACTTGTCCCATTTGTGAGGTCAGGTCCTGATGTTGGATGAGAAGACCCGGCTCACAATCATCATTCCGATTCACCCCAAAGCTGTTCAGTAGGGTTGAGGTCAGGGCTCTATGCAGGACACTCGAGTTCCTCTACACCAAGCTAGTGGAACAGAAAAGGTCCTTCACCAAAACTGTGACCACAAGGCTGGAAGAGCCCAATTGTCTAAAATGCCTATTTGTGAGGTCAGGTCCTAATGTTGGATGAGAAGACCCGGCTCACAATCATCATTCCAATTCATCCCAAAGGTGTTCAGTAGGGTTCAGGTCGGGGCTCTGTGCAGGACCCTCGAGTTCCTCTACACCAAGCTGGTCACACCATGTCTTTATGGAGCTGGCTTTGTACACAGGGAACAATCATGGTGGAACAGAAAAGGTCCTTCTCCAAAACTGTGACCACAAGGCTGGAGGAGCCCAATTGTTTACCACGTCTATGTATGATGGAGGATTCACAGGACCTTCACGGGGGGAACCCTTGATCTTCATCATTTAAGGGGGTGTTCCCATAGTTTTGGTCATATAGTATACCCATCCGGGGGGTTTCACTGGAGCTCCATCTTCGGTGGCATGGAGCCATTGTGCTGCGTAGCTTTATGTAGATGGTTATGAATGCTTTGATTGGTCTATTCATTTTTAATGAGTTTCTGAGTACCGGCTCCAATCTATAGTGATGAGCGTATTCAGAGTGACTTTGCATAATCTTCTCGTCAAGTCCACCACATACTAGG